CTCAGGAAGCAGAAAAGTCCACCCTCGTGTAAGACGGGCCTGGTGGATGCTCCCTTTCTGCACAGAGCTGTGCTAAGGATACACACACGCACACTTCAGGGCTATGGTAAGAGGGGAGGAGTGTGAGAAGCGGAGAGAAACGTGCCTGTGGCTGGCCCATCACAGGCTGCTTGCAAAGGGTTAAGATCAGAAAGAAGCCAGGACCTGGCCGGGTGCCAAGGCAAGCCTCCAGCTAAATTGAAGGTGGCCAGCCAAGAGGCAGAGGCTGCTGTCCTCTCCCAGTAACCCAGCCTGCTGTGACCCATCCCCACAAATAGCTCTTGTACCCACCTGGCACCCCTTGGGACACAGTGACAGGGTATTTACGAGGTGGTGTGTAAACACAGCTCCTCCTGCAGGGTTCCTTTTGCTAAAATAAATTAGATCAACAAACACGATTTTAGCCCTTCTGGTCTGTGCAAAAGGAGAGTTTTTAAACACAAGGAGTCTCCTCCAAGCTGGGGGTAATTTGCACAGGATCCCTTTTCCAAAGTGTGTGTTTGCACCTGATTTTAGGAATGCTGAGAAGCTACTGATCCAGTTAACTTTGAACCTGTAGGATGTACGCGGTCAGGACCGGGTCTCATTACTAGCAGCAAAACAGGATTTTTCCTTGAGGTCATCACAAACCCGTGATAGCAGTATCAGTACAACATGCGAATCGTCACGCTGTCAGACAAGAGCCTGTTCACCACTGACCAACCCGCTCTGCTGAGGTTTTTGAGCTGCGAAGACTGAACTTACCACAGCCAGACACACAAGTTAATGTAAGAGCAACTTAACGCTCTGCTCATGGTGCCATGGCTCTGTGTGGCTGGCAGGGAACTGTTATCAACCAGTTGACATCAAAATTCATATTTAGATGTTAACAAAGCTGTAAGGGAAGAACCTTGTGAAGGGAAGAACCACTGAAAAACAGGTAGAGTGACCACCACTGTGTTTTTAAAGCTTCTGTTTAAAAAAAACACAAAAAAGGAGAAAAGCCTTTTCATTTGGCTCCCATTACCGCGGGCTTTGAGAGCTCATTTTGTTACTTCCTAATGCTTGCAGGGGAGAGGGAAGTACCTCGTACCCCTACTTTGCACCAGAGAACTGAAACACAGAGGGAATGATTTGTCCATCCCAGCCTACATCAAGAGAAGATAAACGAATCCAGGTTACAAAGACCCTGCCTTCTCCTTGGAACAGCACTAGAAAGCCTTGAGTTAACCCAAATGCCCACCCAAAATCCACTGTGCTCCTTATAGCAGGTAGAGCCCACAGGTCTGCAAACCCATCGCCTCCCTGGGGCCTATGTGAAATGCTGATCTACCCGGTTAACAGCCGCACGCTACCACGGTGAGAAGCGATTCCCCCAGCCCGGAGCAGGCAGTGTGACCCAGCACTGAGGCTTTCACAAGCTTTGTGTAAACACAAGCTCGAGAAGAGCAAATGCAAACCACATTTCCGCAGAACTTTTCCCCAACCAAAGGGATCTTGGTTCCTAACCCTGGGAAAACAGCTGAAAGAGAGGCATGGACGCCAAAACCAAGGGTCTAAGAGTCAGCTTTGAAGAAACAAAGGGTGGGAACATTAGTTTTAATATGGGAATTGATCCGGGGGAGAAAGCCGGCAAGCAACAGAGCAGAGACAGGCAAAAAGGAAATTTACTTTGGAGCTAATCCTACAAACTTAACGCAAGAGAGCGCTTTGCGGACACTGCTCCTCACCTCGGCTGCTCAAAGGTCCACCCACAGCCACCGACAGACAGGCAGCCCTTGTCATCCACAGCATGGCTCTCGGGGTGCAAGGAACAAGGATGAATGTGAGAGTGAAGGCAGGTCACCCTGAGCTGGAGGGAGAGGGGAGCAGTATCCTGCACCCCCGCTCCTCCCAAAGCCTCACCATCACTCTAACGTTGGGCTCTGGCTCTTGGGGGAAACAAGCATCTGAGCTCCCCTTGTTCTGTGACGTATATCTGACTGCTCAGCCAACATCTACCAGGGGACCGGGCTCCAACCTGCAATCCCAGAGACAGGAAAACTGCCCCGAGCAGGCTCAGGAGGGATAGCATGGCCCCAGACCGCAGCCCTATGCAGGCAGGCTGCCCCTGACTGCCTGGGCTCTGGCTCTTGGGGGAAACAAGCATCTGAGCTCCCCTTGTTCTGTGACGTATATCTGACTGCTCAGCCAACATCTACCAGGGGACCGGGCTCCAACCTGCAATCCCAGAGACAGGAAAACTGCCCCGAGCAGGCTCAGGAGGGATAGCATGGCCCCAGACCGCAGCCCTATGCAGGCAGGCTGCCCCTGACTGCCCAGGCAGCTTCAGGCCCGGAGGAAGTGAACCGGACCACCCATGCGCCCACGCTCACCGCGGCCGGGCTATGTCTGCACCACGTTGGGCGGCGCGGCTGGGGGAAGGCTGCCCGCAACGCCCGGGGGCCCAACGACAAGCCC